TGGTGACAGAGCGAAACTCCGTCTCAAAAAAAAAAAAAAAAAAAATTTAAGGCCAGGTGCAGTGGCTCACGCCTGTAATCCTAACACTTTGGAAGATCATGGCAGGGGGACTGCTTGAGGCCAGGAGTTCAAGACCAGCCTGGGCAACATAGCAACATCCTGTCCCTATAAAAATTAGCCAGGTGTGGTGGTATGCTCTACCATCCTAGCTACTCAGGAGGCTGAGGCGAGAGGATCCTTTGCGCCCATGAGTTCAAAGCTGCAATGAGTTATGATCACGCCACTATACCCCAGCCTGGGCGAGAGAGAAATAAGACCCTATCTCAAAAAAATAAAATAAAATAAGTTTTTTAATTAGTTGGCATGATGGCTAATGCCTATAGTCCCAGCTACTTGGGAGGTAAAGGCAAGAGCATTGCTTGAGCCCAGGAGCTTGAGGTTGCAGTGAGCCATGATCACACTACTGTATTCCAGCCTCAGTGACACAGTGAGACGCCTCTCTCTTTAAAAAAAAAAAAAAAAGGCCAGGCACGGTGGCTCACGGCTATAATCCTAGCACTTTTGGAGGCCAAGGTGGGCTGATCACTTGAGCCCAGGGGTTCGAGATTATTCTCGGCAACATGGAGAAACCCCGTCTCTACCAAAAAAAAAATAATAATAATACAAAAATTAGCCAGGTGTGGTGATATGCACCTGTAGTCTCAGCTACTCAGGAGCCTGAGATGGGAAGATTACTAAGCCCAGGAAATCAAGGCTGCAGTGAGCTGTGATCACACCACTGCACTCCAGCCTGGCTGACAGAGCAAGACCCTGTATCAAAAAAAAAAAAAAAATGTTTAAAGAAAGTTCAGACACACACAAAAAAACCTGGAGCTTCAGGAATAAAAAAGAATAATGAAGTTTTCTAAATTAGATTAAATTTAAACATTAAATTCTGTTTATGGTTGCACAACATATTACAACATTGTCTAACATGATTCCCAATATATGTAAAAGAGATCATTAAGCAAATTATATTAAAGAGGGGAGAAAGTATGAATACTTAAATAGAGGTAAGGTTTTCACACTTCATCCAAAATGGTAAAATGTTAATGCCAACAGACTGTGGAAAAATAGCATATGTGTAATATAATGTCCACAGCAAACACCAAAAATCTATACAAAGAGATGCATTCAAAAGTGCTACAGATAAATCAAAACGGAATGCTAAATAATGTTCATGTAACTTATGGGAAGGCAGGAAAAATTAAACAGAGGAACAACAAATAGGAAAAACAAATTAAACAACAAAACGGCAGACTTAAGCTCTACTATATCAATAATTACAATATATATAAATGGACTAAACATACTATGAAAAGACAGAGTTGGGAGAATTGATTTTAAAAGCATGAAGCAGGCCAAGCACGATGGCTCATGCCTGTAATCCAAATGCTTTAGGAGGCTGAGGCAGAGAGATCACTTGAGGCCAGGAGTTCCACACCAGCTTAGGATACATAGCAAGACCTCCATCTCTTAAAAAAAAAATTGTTTTATTAGCCAGGTGCAGTGGCACATGCTTGTTGTCCTAGCTACTCAGGAGGCTGAGGCAGGAGGATCTCTTGAGCCCAGAATTAGAGGCTGCAATGAGCTATAATGGTACCACTATACTCCAACCTGGCAACAAAGCAAGACCCTGTCTCTAAAAAACAAATAACAACAACAACAAAACATGAACTATATGCTATCTATAAGAAACTTCAGGCTGGGAGCAGTGGCTCATGCCTGTAATCCCACACTTTGGGAGGCCAAGGTGGAAGGATCACTTGAGCTCAGGAGTTCAAGATCAGTATGGGCAACATACCAAGACCTTTTCTCTACTAAAAAATAAAAATAAAAATAAATTAGCTGGGTATGATGGCACAACGCCTAAGGTCCCAGCTACTCTGCAAGCTGAGGTTGGGAGGATTGCTTGAGCCTAGGATTGCTTGAGCCTAGGATTGCTTGAGTCATAGCTGCAGTGAGCTATGACCATGCCACTGCACTCCAGCCTGGGCAACAGAGTGAGACTCTGTCTTAAAAAAAAAGGAAAAGAAACTTCAAGCCGGGGATGGTGGCTCACACCTGTAATCCCAACACTTTGGGAGGCAAAGGTGGGAGGATCACTTGAAGCTAGGAGTGCAAGGCTAGCCTGGGCAACACAGCAAGATCCTGTCTCTCCAAAAAAAAAAAAAAGAAACTTCAAACATTACAAAGGTACACTGAAAGTAAAAAAAAAAAAAAAAGGAAAAATACAAACATTAATCAACAGAAAGCAGGAGTAACTATATAAATATCAGAAAAATTAACTTCAGAGCAAAAAAAAATTACCAGAGAAGTACATCATATAATGACAAAAGGGTCACTCTACCAAAAAGATATATTAACAGTCCTGAATATGTAGGCATCAAATAACAGAGCTTTAGAATATAATAAGCAAAAACAGAATTGAAAAAATACATATACCAATCCACAATCACAGTTTGATATTTCAACAAATTCTCTCTCAATAATTAAAAACTACTAGACAGAAAATCACCAAGGATAGAGAAGAACTTAACAAACACTTCAATGGGTATAAAGGCAGCTTAGCAACTTATACTTCATACATGGCGTGTGGTCTTGTTTTAATGATCTGTTAATATAATAAATAACTACTTTCCATTGTTGCTTTTTTTATTTGTTTGTTCTTACTGTTGTTTTCTTTTAATAACAGAATTGGTACATATTAACTGGGGGAAAAATACTGATATTTATAAAATAAAACTAAAATGTCCCCGTCAACCTCAACCTGCCAGCATTCACCTGAAATAACCACTCCTCAGAATCTGTATTCTTTAAAATCTTTTCTGTGTATAAATATATATGCATACATGGTTTTAACTTTGCTTTTAAAATTGAATCACATTTGGCATACTGTCTGCAACTTGCTTTTTTTCAGCACAATGACATATACTAACATCCTTCCTGGTTGGTGATATATAGATCATGCAAAGTACTAATAAAAATGTTCTCAGAAGCTGGGCATGGTGGCTCACTTCTGTAATCCCAACACTTTGAGAGTTGAGGCAGGAAAATCGCTTGAGGCCAAGAGTTAGAGATCAGTCTGAACAATATAGCAAGACTCCATTTCCACAATTTAAAAAAAAAATGTTCAGGAGCTAAATGATAAGAATTTATGAACACAGAGAAGGAAATAACAGATACAGGGTTCTATCTGAGTGGGGAGGATGGGGGGAAGAAAAGGAGCAGAAAAGATAGCTATTGGGTACTGGGCTTAATACCTGGGTGATAAAATAATATACACAACAAACCCCCATGACATGTGTAACAAGCCTTCACATGTACCCCCAAACCTAAAATAAAAGTTAAAAAAAAAATTAAAGACAACTGGCCAGACACGGTGTCTCACACCTGTAATCCCAGCACTTTGGGAGGCTGAGGCAGATGGATCACGAGGTTAGGAGATCGAGACCATCTTGGCTAACACAGTGAAACCCCGTCTCTACTAAAAATACAAAAAAAATTAGCCGAGAGTGGTGGAGGGCACCTGTAATCCCAGCTACTCAGGAGGCGGAGGCAGGAGAATGGCATGAACCCAGGAGGCAGAGCTTGCCGTGAGCCGAGATCGCGCCACTGCACTCCAGCCCAGGGGACAGAGCAAGACTCTGTCTCAAAAAAAAAGCTGGCCAGGCACAGGGGCTCATGCCTGTAATCCTAGCACTCTGGGAGGCCAAGGTGGGCAGATCACCTGAGGTCAGGAGTATGAGACCAGCCTGGCCAACGTCATGAAACTTCATCTCTACTAAAAAATACAAAAAATTAGCTGGGTGTGGTGGCATAAGCCTGTAGTCCCAGCTATTCAGGAGGCTAAGACAGGAGAATTGCTTGAACCTAGGAGGCAGAGGCTGCAGTGAGCCACCAAGGTCATGCCACTGCATTCTAGCCTGGGCGACAGAGTGAGACTCCATCTCAAAGGAAAAAAAAAACAAAGTTGATTTTTAAAAAATGTTCTCGGCCGGGTGCGGTGGCTCATGCCTGTAATCCTGGCACTTTGGAGGCCGAGGCAGGTGGATCACCTGAGGTCAGGAGTTTGAGACCAGGCTGGCCAACATGGTGAAACCACGTCTCTACTAAAAATGCAAAAAATTAGCTGGGTATGGTGCCAGGCACCTGCAATCACAGCTACTCAGGAGGCTGAGACAGAAGAATCACTTCAACCTGGGAGGTGGAGGTTGCAGTGAGCCGAGGTCACATGCCATTGCACTCCAGCCTGCGCAACAAGAGTGAAACTCCATCTCAAAAATATATACATATATATTCTCAGAAAACAGCATGTCCTTTAATAATATAAGTTTCTTGTAGTTACAAAAGCCTATTATACTCAGCACCTATAAATATAATGACCATCAGATTAATGTTAAATAACAGAAGAATGAATAAAACTCTCCTAGAGCAAGAAGACAGCAAAACAGAGTTGAAAGTACTTTGTAAATCATAAAGGGAGTAAAAACATAAGTATTATTACAATTATATTTTCTTTTCTTTTTTTTCGAGACAGAGTCTCGCTCTGTCGCCCAAGCTGGAGTGCAGTGGCGCGATCTCGGCTCACTGCAAGCTCCGTCCCCCCGGGTTCACGCCATTCACTTGCCTCAGCCTCCCGTGAAGCTGGGACTACAGGCACCCGCCACCACGCCCGGCTAATTATTTTTTGTATTTTTAGTAGAGACGGGGTTTCACCATGTTAGCCAGGATGGTCTCGATCTCCTGACCTCGTGATCTCCCTGTCTCGGCCTCCCAAAGTGCTGGGATTACAGGCGTGAGCCACCGCGCCTGGCCTTTTTTTTTGTTTTTTAAAGTAAACACTAAAAGCTAGCTGGTATCATTAGATAAATAAAAATATTGGTATTCTATCATCATGTGCAAAAAAATGAGGGGGTTATGTTAACACAAGTATTTGTTTCTAAGAATGAAATACTCACAGCTGTTTCTCCTTTTGGGAGATTTGTTTCTGCAGACTGTCAGATTTACTGAGACATTCTTGTAGATATTTCTCATCCTCATCTTCAGCTTCCATCTGCGCCTTCTCTGCTTGCTGCAATCTGGTGTAATTCAAATCAACTTTGGGTAAAACTGAGGCTAGAACTAGGGTGTAAAAGGGTGAAGAAGACAAATAAAAGAAAAATGGGGAAATAGAAACATTTCTAAATGAAAACAAAGTTTGGGGAAAAACTCACAAACTCAAACGTGAAAGAGTCACACAATGTCTAGAAGTTGTTCTGTGATTTTTTTGTCAATATAACATGTAGTATGCCCAGAATACTATCTTCAAATTTGTTTTATTTCTTGTTCGTAATTAACAGTGCAAAGCAATACAGCCTTTACCACTTATGCAGAGCATAATGAATCAAATTTCAAAGCATAATAGGTATGTTACTACCTTTTTTCAAAACCATGAAAAGTAAAGGATTTATGCCTACACTAGGTGAAGAAGCCACACTGTTATATGTTAAGCTAGGATGTGTATGCCAGGAATCAAGTGTGCTACAAGGCCAAGAGCAAAGACCTGCAATTACTCCAAATGAGAGCCAACTCCTTCTTACAGCATCTTTATGCATTTACTAAATTATGCCGAAGCTCTATGCATGTGTGTGTGTGCACGTGTGCATACATGTTTAAGATTCAAAAAGAATTTGGTGCCAGTTGGCATCATTCACTAGAGATCATTTTTGTTCCTCACCATTTAATATTAAAAATTAGCTAAAATATTGTGATTTTCATCTTTCCTGTTTTTATTTGTAAGTCGTTGCATTTTCCTGTGCTTAGCTCCACTCCCTGCCTTCTTTGGCCATCTAGGATTTCTTATATTTAACTTCAATATTTTTATAAGAAAATATTTACCAAGATTCAAAGGATATTAACTCCTTGCAGGAAATCACAAGAGAAATTTCGGTTCAACTAACTAAAAAAACTCTTCCTCTTCCTTTCTTCCTTAAAACCATACCAATGGAGCAACCCTCACATATTTCAGGGGTATAAATGCTGTTTCCACGGAAAGGAGAGTTATCATTCAAGTTATCTCCAAATCTAAGATTAAATTAAAATATTCAGGTGCTGGGGATGGACCCAAGCTTTTCTCTCAGGTTACAAGAAGGAAAATAAAAGAGTGAGGTAGGCCTTGAAGTTGTGCTATCACAGAAGAGGGCAAGGGAGAACTGGAAAACTGAGAAGCTGAAGCACAGGATGTTGGCCAGTCTGGGTTATAAGTTATTTTGAAGCATATGTAAAAATCAGTAAGGGAACCGTTGGGCAAAGAGTGGGCCAATGAGAAAAAAATATCTGTGCCAACGCAGTATAAAACCAAAGGTTAAGTTATTTTTAAACAATCTTTATATTTTTCATCAAAAAGTAGCTAAAAAGATAAAACTGCATTTGAAAATCCTGACCTCCAAAGGGTCAATACTCAAATCACCCTTTGTGCACAAGGTTTGAGGAATGTATGTCTAGAAATCCAAGTGCACCCACTCTGCTTAATGGCAGTGTATTACCATAGCAGCTGACCAAGAAATGTACAGGGTTCCTAACACCCTTTTAGAATATTTAGTAGCATAGACTCCTTTCTATTTAATGTATTATAAAATTGTTGATTCTCTTTTCATTTAGTCTGTTTAAATACAAGTGGTCTTCAGAAAGATATATCTTTGACCAGCTTGTACTGGTCCTGCGTGTCACTGCTGGCACATTTCACCAATGACATTGCAATTGTCCTAGTCTGAGTTAACAAATCGTTATCACTTCATAATGGAATGGAAAGAAATCAAAGACAGAAAAAGGTAATAAAGATGTCCAAAATGTAAAAATGGGGATAAAGAAAACAAAAAAGAAAAAAGAAGAAAGAGGATGTCAATAAAAGAATATTCATGTCAATAAAGCATTAATAGTTATGTTTTTCATAAATAGATTCAAAGAAAGCAATGATAAAAGACATATGTTGACACCAACATGACAGGGCAATGGAAATACATTACATTTTCCAACAATAAAAGTGAAAAATGCCAATATAAAACAATTCAATTTAAACAAAATTATATCTTCGGTTGGGTTGAGGGTCCTAGTTCAAAGAAACAAAACTAAACCACCAATTCGGAATGCTTGATTTCATATAAACAGATGGCGAATGGCAAAGAATACGATAATTAACATGCATGGAAATCAATTAGGGATAATCTCACTCTGTTTGTTCATTTTTATTTTTTTTGACGTTTTTATTTGTGTATTTGTTTTATGTAATTGAATAACATGAAACTACTGATATTAGGCCTCTAAGAAAAATCTACAATATGACAACTTCAAATGATTCAGCATAATATAAAGCAACTTGATTCCATGCAACAACCAAAACAAAAACACAAAATCCTGCTGGGCTTAAACAAAAAACGTGTCCTAATCTATATCTTCCTAACGGTTTTTGTGGCAGGTGTAGGAACTGAATAAAGAAAAAGGGGAAAAGAAAATAAAAAAAGAAACTAAGACTGGAAATGCTGTACCTTTGTTCCAGCTGCCTCATGGCTGCAGTAATTTTGTTGGTTTTTTCTTCTAGTCGGGCAATTATTTCATTTTTTTCTTTCAAGCCATCTTCAGAACCCTATTTATAAAAACAAAAGCTACAGTGCTTTTGATCTTTTTTTTCTGTGTGTGTGGTTTTTTTTAATAGACAGGGTATCACTATGCTGCCCAGTTCGGGTTTGAACTCCTGGGCTCAAGCTATCCCACCTCTCAGCCTCCAAAGTAGAGTTCTCATCTTTTAACCTGAGTATTTATAAGTTTCTTACACCATTTTGCTATGGGACTGTTACTTTGAAATGAACAGAGTTACTTTATACATAAAATAATTGTGTATTAGTCATTTTTGTGTATTAGTGCTATTAGTCGTTTTTGTTTCTGTTTTTTAAGATGGGGTCTTGCTATGTTCACCAGGCTGGTCTCAAACTCCTGGCCTCAAGCAATCCTCCCATCTTGGCCTCCCTAACTGCCAGGATTATAGCATGAGCCATGGCACCTGGCCTCTATTAGTCTTCATTTAAAATGTAATAGGCCAGGTGTGGTGGCTCACACCTGTAATCCCAGCTCTTTGGGAGGCCAAGGTGGGAGGATCTCTTGAGACCAGCCTGGGCAATATAGTGAGACCTCATCTCTACAGAAAATAAAAGAAAAAAAGAAAAAATTTAAAAAAGAAAATATAATAAAGAAAAAAACTCCACCTTCAATATTTTTGGAAGATGACAGAATACATTCTTGTAAAATATGATATTTTTCAAATTAATTAAATAAAGGATTTTGGCAACAAGTCTACTTAATAGCAATATCATCTTAGAAAATTTACAATTATGGGCCAGGCATGGTGGCTCATGCCTGTAATCCCAGCACTTTGGGAGGCCGAGGTGGGCGGATCTCCTGAGGTCAGGAGTTCGAGACCAGCCTGGCCAACACTGTGAAACCCCATCTCTACTAAAAACACAAAAATTAGCCGGGTGTATTGGTACATGCCTGTAGTCCCAGCTAGTAGGGAGGCTGAGGCAGGAGAATCGCTTGAACCTGGGAGGCAGAGGTTGCAGTGCGCCAAGATCGCACCACTGCACTCCAGCCTGGGCAACAGGGCGAGACTCTGTCTCAAAAAAAAAAAAGAAAATTTACTATTATGATAGTGTAGCATTTCAACCAAAATTAAATATTTCTTAGGACTACATTGTAAAAGGAAGTTCACAAAAATGTTTTGTAGTTTAAATTGAGAATTTTCCCAAAAGATTTAATCTTCATACTCTTAACCTTTCAACATTAAAAATTTAGACAGGGATAGACAGGGGATATTTTGTTTGTTGATACCTTTTTCATTACATTTAAGAGCTTTCATTTAGAAAAAAAAGACATTGGCCTTCATAACTAATACGGCACAGTTAAAATGGGCTCATCTCTTAAAAACCAAAACCTTTCCACAAATATTCACTTTCAATTTCCATAAAATGAAATTTAAGAACAATCCTTACCTGCAACTTTTGATACATCTCTATGTTAATTGCTTTAACTTCCTCTAGCTGTTGTCGAAGGCCTATCAGAGTATCTTGTTTCTCATGGATATCTTTCTCCAGCAACTTCATGGCAAGTTCAATCTCATGCTTCATACTAACTTGTACTGCTAGCTCATTCTCTACATCCTGCAATTTCAATATATCCTCAATTCACATGCCACTTCAGGATGTAAAAATTAGATATACTTTAAGAAAGGTTGTCCATTCAATATACAGACTACACTTTTTAAGTCCACTAAAGGGAATCAACCAGGCCCTCTAATAACACAATAAACATTTTGAAATGCAGGGCCAGGTGCAGTGACTCATACCTGTTATCCCAGCACTTTGGGAGGCCGAGGTGGGTGGATCACTTGAGGTCAGGAGTTCGAGACCAGCCTGACCAACATGGTGAAACTCCGTCTCTACCAAAAAAATACAAAAACTTAGGCAGGTGTGGTGGCACACGCCTGTAGTCCCAGCTACTAGGGAGGCTGAGGTGAGAGAATCACTTGAACCCAGGAGGCAAAGGTTGCAGTGAGCCAAAATCACACCACTGCACTCCAACCTGGGCAACAGAGTAAGACCCTGTCTCAAAAAATAAGTAAATATTTTCAAATGCAGTTTTTGCTAAAATGAAAGCATTTTCTATATTCTGTTAATCATTACTCTTTTACTGGTACAAGAATTAATCATTTTTGTGCTTCATAAATTGAATATTAATTTTCCTTAAACAAAAGGAAATGAAGTGGTCTATACAAGTAAAGGCCAAAGTAACTCAAAACACAGTTTAATTTCCTTTTTTTTTTTTTTTTTTTTGAGATGGAGTCTGCTCTGTCGCCCAGGCTGGAGTGCAGTGGCGCATTCTTGGCTCACTGCAAGCTCCGTCTCCCAGGTTCACGCCATTCTCCGCCTCAGCCTCCTGAGTAGGTGGGACTACAAGGGCCTGCCACTATGACTGGCTAATTTTTTTTTATATATATATATTTTTAGTAGAGACACAGTTTCACCATGTTAGCCAGGATGGTCTCGATCTCCTGACTTGTGATCCACCAGTCTCGGCCTCCCAAAGTGCTGGGATTACAGGTGTGAGCCACCACACCCGGGCAACTAGTTTAATTTCTTAAGAATTTTTTATCAGAAGAATTAAAAAGTTTCTTATGATTTATCTTAAGAAATTTATTGGCCTGCCAAGGTGGCTTATGCCAGTAATCCCAGCACTTTGGGAGCCCGAGGTGGGCAGATCCTGAGGTCAAGAGATCGAGACCATTTGGGCTAACATGGTGAAACCCCGTCTCTACTAAAAATACAAAAAATTAGCCAGGCGTGGTAGCAGGCACCTGTAGTTCCAGCTACTCGGGAGGCTGAGGCAGGAGAATGGTGTGAACCCGGGAGGCAGAGCTTGCAGTGAGCCGAGATCGCACTACTGCACTCCAGCCTGGGCGACAGAGGGAGACTTCATCTCAAAAAAAAAAAGAAAGAAAAAGAAATTTACTAACATTAAAGACAAAGAGAAAAGATGATTAAAAAGATGGGCAATATTCTCTTTTTGACCTGGTGGTGGTTACACAGGTTATTTGCGTTATAATTCATTAAGCTGTATATTCATATTTTTCTGTTGGCATTATATTTCACAATTTCAAAGGTTAAAAAACAAGTTAATTTTAAATATGACTTTCCTAATATTTGAATATGTTGTTCTGTTTCATTTACTATAACGTTGGTCACAACCCATTCATTCACAATCATATTGTAACTTACAGTTTAAAAAACACTGATACAGGTCAGGCACAGTGGCTTATGCCTATAATATCAGCACTTTGGGAGGCCAAGGCAGGTGGATCACTTGAGGCCAGGAGTTCCAGCCCAGCCTGGCCAACATAGCAAAACCCCATCTCTATAAAAAATACAAAAATTAGCCAGGCATGGTGGCACATGCCTGTAGTCCCGCTACTTGGGAGGCTGAGGTACAAGAATTGCTTAAACCTGGGAGGCAGCGCCTGCAGTGAGCCAAGATCGCACCACTGCATTCCAGCCTGGGTGACAGAGCGAGACTCTGTCTCAAAACAATAATACGCCGAGCGCAGTGGCTCATGCCTATAATCCCAACACTTTGGGAAGCCAGGGCAGGCAGATAACTCGAGGCCAGGAGTTCGAGACCAGCCTGGCCAACATGGTGAAATCCCGTCTCTACAAAAAATACAAAAATTAGCCGGGCATGGTGGCACATGCCTTGTAGTCCCAGTTACTTGAGAGGCTGAGGTACAACAATCACTTGAACCCGGGAGGCAGAGGCTGCAGTGAGCCAAGATCGCACCACTGCACTCCAGCCTGGGCGACAGAGTGAGACTCCATCTCAAAACAACAACAAAACATTGATATAGTGGAAGCTTAGAAAATTTGAGAAGATTAAGGGGTGAACTTGCTATATACCACACCAAAAAGGATAAGGCTGAAAGAGATTTTAAATGGTGCTTGCTAGAGAGTAAATTACTCCCAGGATGATTTTGCTAATATAATTTTCAATATAACCTACTTGTCGTAACTGAGATTCATCTCGAAGCTGCCTTCTGGCTTCATTGTACATTTCATCTAGCCCCTGACGAGAATGCTTATATGTTTGAAGCTCAGTTTCCACATCTACTTTGGTAACCTAGGAAGAAAACAAAATTTTTCATTCTATAATCACTACTATTAATACAGCACAGAAATACCTACTTCATGCAAAAGTGCCTAAAAATAGTAATTTCTGACATGAGATTGTCTGCTTGAAAGCAGTCTATACTTACCTCTAGGTGCTGCTGTGTTTTCATTAAAATCAATTTATTTTCACTTCGTAATTGATGATTTTCTTCTTGGAGTTTAATGATGTTATTCTTTGCTATTGCTAACTAAAAATTATGAAACGGGCAAGAAAAAAGATTTTAAACACCCTTATACTTGCTTTCCAGGTTATGTGCATGGCCATAAACAACAGAAAATAAAATCTCACAACTAGCAAAAGGTCTGTCACATTCAAAGAAACGTTCATAAGAAAAATATGCTCGTTATTATCCCAAGATACCAATTTTAAAAATTAAACTCTTATTTCCTTTTGAACTATTCCTATTTTCTTTTATAGTTGAAACACATTAGGCTAATTTGTTATGCTTATAATAAACGTATTATGCTTACTGTATGATTTACAGTATGTCCAGAATACAAAGTTTCTGAGTAAACAAATAGAGAATTATGCATTAAATAACAAAGGCTTTAAAGACTTGTGTAAATATAAAAACACATATAAGGAAAGGAGGTTGTGCTATCATTGAAAAATGTAATACAGACATTTGTGGTAACTGAGTAGGACACCCCATGAAATCTGGACATGTAACAGGAACTTAAGTGACTATGACAAACAAGAGATAATTCTCACCATGAGTTAAACATGCATGATTAAGTGGTGGGACTCTGAGGCCCCGAATGGAAAGAGAGATCCTATGAAAGCAAAGCAGAGACCATTCCCTAATGATGGTTTGCAATTAACACATTTCTGAACACTTTATCAGGGATCAACCTGAACTTCACAGTCCTACTAAAGTCAATAAGAGGCACAAACTAGTGAGCAGCTCTATAATGGTCCTGATCAGGAGCCCAACCATCAAAATAAAGATGCATTCTTAACTGCAGTCATGTAAGTTATCATGTGTTCCTTGGTTTGGAAAAATTGGGCCAATTTTAAAAGAAATGAGAATGTTAATTAACACGGAAAATAGGGTTCACAATACAAATAACAGAAGCCTAAATATTTCTGAAAATATGTTAAGTAATAATTCTTTGGTTTAATAGATTAAAAAAAAAACAAACAACACACCTAGAAGCAACTCTACAAAAAAGAGAGCTGAGATAAATTTCTGGGTCTGCTTCAAATGCACTCTGGGATCGCCAGATAGCTACTTTCACAACATAAGAAACCAGAGCACATGGGATGAGTTTTACACCTGGGATGGTGGAAAAAAGGTCACCATGATCATGCAGTGATGCCTGTGAAGAAAAGTAATCTGACTAGTGGAACAGTGGAACAGAGGGACGGTATCGTTTTAATAAGAATTTCTTTTTTTTAATGTGTATTATTATTTTTTTGTACTATACTATAAGTTCTGGGATACATGCACAGAACGTGCAGGTTTGTTACACAGGTATACATGTGCCATGGTGGTTTACTGCACTTAACAAGAATTTCTAACTACAGGTGATTACACTAGGTAAATATAGGTCATCCAGATTTTAAAATGAAAATCACAGCTTATCTACTGAAGAGTCTCTGAGGCTCATTTTTAGAAGTTGAGTATTTCAAATGTAGTATCTCACAGATTCTTATAACTGAGGATTTGCCTAAGAATATACAGTTTCTCTAGAACTTATAATCATCAGTTACAACTGTATTACAAGTATCGCATCACAATGATGAGTGTATGTTCGTGTGTGCATATGTTTAATGCACTCATACTTAAAATGGAAAAGGATCACAAACACTAGTTCCATGAAATACATTTATCCATTAGACAATACCTCTTCAATCAGCTTAGTATTTGACTTTTCTAATGAATCAACTCTTGAATGGAGGCTGCTGACTGTGCTGCTGAAATTAAGAAAGAAAAAAACTCATTCAAAATCACACAAACTCAAAAAAGCACGAAAAAATATGTTATCCTAGACTTACTATGTTTACCGACAGACACCAACTGCCCTGTCCACATTTCTGGGTGTGGAAAATTTCATTAACTTGGATAACTTGATTTAGCTAGGAGGGCAACAAAGAGTGTAGCAAAATAATATTTCTATTAAAATTCCATTTGGTGCTACTGATTCTTTTTTTTTTTTTTTTTTGAGATAGAGTCTCA